TCTTGTGTTTTAAACTTAAAAGTACTGAAGGTTTCTGCAAACTCAGGAATCCTATAGCAAATTAATAAACAGCCCTTCCAAAAAACATTTTAAAAACGCTGGGCTGGCTAATGAGTAAGCAGGAGCTACGTTATTTCTTTTTGGCATAATGCCAAGTTGATGTGGCTTTTGATCCCTCTTAGGTTCAAGACATTGCCTGTCCAAGGTTCATTTGATTTAGTTTTGGTTGCATCACTCCCTCCCTTTTTCTGCCTCCTGCAACAGAAGACTTTTTCCCCCCGATAGTTTTTCCATATTTAGCTACCAGAAGTTTCCACGGAAAACAAAAGCCCTACCAACTTACTATTTTGGTTGTGCAATGTGGAGATTTGGTCCCAGAGGCAGACAGAGCTGCACTGTGAAAGCGAAGCTAACATCACTGTCACGTTAAACCTTGGCGGTGTCATCAATTCTACAGCCATAACATTATGAAATAAATGTTGATTGCACAATGAAAAGCAACAATGTAGCCTATTGCCCATTTAAAATGCACAGTTTAAATAAGGTTGTATGACATGTATTAGTACAAACGTTGACCTTTGTTAAATAGACAATCTGTTTTAAATCCTGACCTGACAAAATTTCTCTTTCCTTTGTGTACATTTTATATAAAAGTTTATCTTGGTGTAGGATTTTGGAGATTTTGCAGGGAGCTGCATGGTTCTTGGTGGGATTGCTGCCAGTTGGCTAAATGACTTCTGTTGGGTTGCAAAGTCATGTCCAATAGCTGTCCAACTGGTGGCAATTGTCAGCTTTATCTAGTATGAAAATCTAAATTGGCACACATTAACTAAATTAATAATAGCCACCTTAACAAAAGTAAACAACCACACTGAACAAGACTGAAAACAGAGCCCAGGATCTCTATGCATCGTGTACCTGTGATAACGTCCGTCAGATCCTGGTCATGAGTCTTCCTCAGAAGCCTGATCAGAGCCGGGACGCCATCGCAGTTCTTGATGGCAATCTTATTGTCTTGATCTTTGCCATATGAGATGTTCTTTAGTGCGCCACAGGCTGCGTAGTGAACCTGTAACATACACGAGCACAGCTTAATGGGCCATCAGCCACGATGGAGTGGTACTTGAAGGCATCGATTTCAAATGCATGGAGAGCGCTAGCAAGAAACGGTCATGACCTCGAAACTGCACTACACGCATTAAATAGGTCTTTGCAGAGCTCCTCATACGAGTAATTACTACAATTAGTGGTAAATTAGCGGGCTAATTAGTACACATTTACACATTAAAGAAATGTTAAAGGGGAGCTATTATGCTCATTTCAAGACTCAGTTTTGTTCTTGGTCTCCACTAGTGTAGTTTTCATGATGCACAGTTTAATTAATTATATATAAGGAAACTTTTTTTTTTTTTCTTTCATCCAGTTGCTCAGTTTTACTGGATCCTTATATATTAATATTTTTTAGAGTTAGAGAAAAACAAACAAAAAAAAACCCTATTCACACTGCCGGTGTTCTGGGAATCCATCCTACCTCACAAAGTAGGGTAGGATCGGGTAGGAAACACACAAAACCCAAATTTACTTCATTTTTAAAGCCATTGTGAATATTTGTTATGGTTAGGGTTAGTCAGAAGTCACCGTCACATTATCATACGAGTAGGACGATTTGCCAAAGTAGGACAGTTTCTCAGAACACCGGTATTACAACAACAGAAGGTGTGGCTGATGTATTTAGCCTTAAGTAAAAAATATAAGGTATGTCTAAAGCTGCTAAAGTAATAGATGGTAGCAAACTAAGCTAACAGTTTATCTGCATAAAGACTATTTGTAACTGCGTTATATTTCTATTTCTAAATGTGTTTCTATTGTGGTTGAAATGCAAACAGCCTCTTAATTTCACTTTAATGTGGCTACAATTCTTTCTGACAACAATAAGGCATCATCATTGGGGATGACCACAAGCTAGCTACTCAACTTATCCAAGAGAAGTGGCCTAAATTTCAAACTTGGCATCTTTAATTTGAGCAACCACCTTTATCACAGTACATATTTGGTTAGAATATCAGATATTTACAACATGGTAATTATGGCCCACAAATATACAATACTTCAATAATAGTATTTATTACTGCCATAATACCTCAACTATTACTTTGTTTTGTGCATTTTGTCTGTATTAAAACTTTTATGTATTATATAATAATAAATGTATGGCTAATAATGTGAAAACCTACAGACAAAGAAGAATTGCACAATGGTTTGCAACATTAGAACATTTGTATCTGATTTATAATCAATGGTGGTGAACTCTGGTGTGTATGACAGAAAAAAATAAAAAGGAAAAATGCAATACTTCCACTTTATTTCCACTAAGTTAACAAACATAGAATTTTTTTCTCCGCGGTTGCTTTGAAAGTTGTAATAGTCTGCATTCCCGGACCATTTTTTCATTATATTATACTTAATGTGGACTCGTTTTTCCATACACACAAACTTATTGGATGGACTCTTTAAAACCACTTTCAAATGTTTGGAAGATGCAGTTGCAGTGTGACCCATTTCCTCAGTCAGCAAGTTATCGCACACACACACCAGACTTCAAACCTGTCACTGGCCACGGAGCATGAAATGTGAAATTAAGATGCTTCTTTGCCTCGGGACTGGAATGCATGATGTGGTTTCCTTGGTAGTGCCCTTACAAACATCAGCAAAATTTTGCCACAACTAGACCGAAATGAAAGGGAACTGGAGAAAAACCACTGAATGTTTCGGCCAAAACCGGATTTAGAACAAATGTCGCCCTCCAGGATTTGAAGTCCAATACATGCAGCTTGTTTATAGCTCACATTCATTTGGTATTACAGGTAAATCTACAGTTCACCTTGTCCTCACAGTTTAAGATACACTTCATCCCTTAAGCTTCGCTTTTAGCCCAATCATAACAACCTTGCAGAACAGCAAAGAGCGAACAGAAAGCCTTGGAGAAAAACAGCAAACTGACCTCTCTGTGTGGGTTGTCGAGCATAGAAACCAGTGCTGGAATGCCTTTCATACGACGCACATCGGACTTCACCTGCAAATCAAAAAAAGGGACACAGTGTGAATGGGCATTTGTTATATTATTTAAATAGAAACCATGCAAAACAATTATTAAATCAAGAATGAATAGACAAGCAAGGGCCCAAAACAAGGATACAGAGTAACAAGTGAGAGAAATCATTGAAAAGACAATAAAAACCTCAAGTATTTTAATCTGTGAGGGAATTTCCCATCAACATTGAGGGGGAAAAGCATGCACACAAAATACAAAACAAAATACTTCTTAAGCCCTTGGAAGAATCAAAAATGGCTCTGTCAGCTCGTGCTATTTTACAAGTTATTATCTCTGATTTTGCCATTGCTTATATTTATAAAGCTTAGTGACATGCTCAAAGTTTAGCTCTGGTCTGTTCTATTTGTTTTATTATCATGTCTCAATCATTCCTGCACTGTGTAAACTACCACAAATTAAAATTAAGTGTTGGGAAAAAACATTTTAGTTAGAAATAGAAATGAAAACGACACTTTTATAAAAGATGAAAACCAACTGAAAAGATATCATGTGCTTACAAGATGTGCTTTCAACATGACTTAAAGTCCACTACTTAAAAATCAGCCCTGTACATATCCAGCTGACATAATAATGAGAAAAATTAAACATTAAATCTAGTGAAAAAAATAATATATAAACATATAAAATCTTACAAACTTTATAACGGTGAAAAAAAAAAAAAAAGAGCTTGCATTGTTTTCGGATCCTTTACCTTATCATTCTTAAAGGTGAGATGCTGCAGATAAGCAGCTGCGTTGCTCCTGACGGGATCCAGCCTGTAGTTGAGCATGGCGATGACCTCAGGTAACTCTGGCTGACGCCAGCCACCGGGACCAGGGCCTTTCCTTAGAGTGCTGTCCAATGAAGCCATGCTCCCTCTTTCACCCTGAGCCAGTGGCGCGCCGCCACCCCAGTAGTAATCTCCTGCACCGCTTATGTCGCCATCCAAGAGGCCCTCATAGCTCCTGAGAGGAAAAAGGAAGAGATCCGTAAAGGCTGGCACTAAAATATATTATGGAAAATCAAAGATCACAAGATCACACAACTTACCCGGTCCTGCGAGGCGGAGCACGAGGGTAAGCATGGGGGTTGCGGGGCACAGTGCTGTAATGCATTGGAGGTGCCATGCCATAGTCGGGCTCATCAAAGCCCATGCTGCGTTGGTCATCCTCCAGACCGTATGGCTCTGGAACAAACCTTGGGATGGAGGAAAGCTCCATACCACTTCCCATAGGCCCAACCTACACAGAGACAAAGACTGTGATCCAAAAACAACTGAAACTATGGCTGCACTCTAAAATAGATTTTCAGTGGCTTGTGTCTGAGCTTGGAAACTCAGACATACACATTATGATAACATTACAATTAATTGGTGGGAAGGGAATGTTGGAGACAGTTTTGAATTCCTTCTTCTGTTCTCGCTGTCTCGCCAGAAAAATGTGTCGTGTGTAAAATTCATGCAAAGTAAAATTCTGCCAAGAGAAAAGTGCCAGAGTAAATTGGGCAATGATTGCTTAACACACCTGTGGCTGAGCAGCATAGGGGTCCAACTGGTTCCTGCTGGGGGCTCTGTAGTTGGGATCTAGAGTCCTATACCCATCTGGATGAACCGGTCTGGAAAGGAGGAGGAGGTTGACAATGAGACAAAACATTATCATGGACAAGTTTAAAAACAATCTGCATGCCTTGAAGCCTAGATAAACAGGAATTTCATTGAACATGTTACCTGTAGCGATCATCCATGTGAGCTCCCCTGCTGAGGCTTGTATAGACCTCAGATGGAGGTCCAACGCGGTAGTCGTCATAAGGTCCCACTGGAGGTCCGTAGTGGTAGTTTCGGGGCACAGTTTGAGTGGGGTAGTCCATTGGCACAGCAACTCCAGGGCCCTGCCTGTAGAGTCGGTCGGCGGGTGTAGTGTATCCACCTGTCACAGAGCCTCCATCCATTGACAGTGTGTCTGACACAGAAGGGATGACTGTGCGGGTGGTGGTAGTCTTTACTACTTTCTTTACCTTAAAAGGGGATGACAAGACAGTAAAGAGATGAGATATCAACGCTGAATAATTACAAGTATGAACTTTTCTGCTTTACAGAGATAGCATCCAAAGCAAACCTTGCAATAAACCAGAACAAAAACAAGAATGAACCAGTTTGGCCAGAATGCCACTCTCCAAGTGACTACTATTAGCATCTAGCTCTTACTGTGGTTTCTGTACGCTTTGTTGTCCCATCTTCACTGGTCTCCACAGACACAATAGGTGGCATCTGCTGGGGTTGTTCCTCCACCGTGAACGTCTCCTGCACCACCTGACCAGGCTCCATCCTGAACTGCATACATTTGGATACATTTCAGAGTAAGATTCAAATGTAGGTTACACACGCAGTAACCCTGGATCAACACTATCTGAAAGGTGCTTACGTGATGTGTCCCGTTGATGTAACCCTCGTTCAATGTCAGCCTTTCTATGTCTGCATCACAAGGAATGCGGCCGTTCTGTAGAAATAGAGGGAGAAGGAAAAAGTACACATGACATGGCCCAACACACAAACTAAATGAAAGAGTGTATGTGTAGCCATGAGCAAACATGGACAACAGTACTGACAGAG